ATTGAATATACTATTTTAACCCTGTTCAGGAGACCCTTGAATGGAACACTGTATAAGGTGACCTCCCTGATACAGGAAGGGAAATCATTCTCACCCTGGCCAAGAACTGACATGAGACTGTGACTAGAAGGGACGGACTCCGTGAAGAGGGCCTGAAAGACTTTGAAATCTGCCAGTGTGTCTCTGTGTAAGATGTGACTGCCTGATAAGCGACAACCTGCATGTAAGCTGTTTATTGCTTTCAGGATAGGTTTACTCTGTAATGCTTTTGTTCTGGATGTGAAAGTGAGAACAAGGGTTCGCATGGCACATATGAAACCAGCGTTGCAATATATTTATGTGCCAGATGTGCTAAAGATTCATATGTCCCTTCACGCTTCGACCTGCATTCCAGCGGCCATGCATCCATGCTGATGATGGGTTCTGCTTCATAATGATCCGAAGTAGTGCTGACTGAGGCATGTTCATTTTCCATCATCTGAGTCAAATGTCACCAGCAGAAGGTCGATTTTCTTTTTTGGTGGTTCAGGTTCTGTAGTTTCTGCATCAGAGTGTTGCTCTAATAATTCTGAAAGCAAGCTCCATACCTCATCCCTCTCAGGTTTTGGAAGGCACTGCAGATTCTTAAACCTTGGGTCAAGTGCAGTAGCTATCTTTAGAAATCTCACATTGGTACCCTCTTTGCGTTTTGTTAAATCTGCAGTAAAAGCGTTCTTAAAACAAACATCGTATGCTAGGTCATCATCCGAGACTGCTATAACATGAAATATATGACAGAATGTGGGTTAAACACAGAGCAGGAAACATACAATTCTCTCCCAAGGAATTCAGTCATGAATTTAATGAACACTTTTTTTTAAACAAGCATCATCAACATGGAAGCATGTCCTCTGGAATGGTGGCCAAATCATGAAGGGGCATATGAATGTGTAGCATATCTGGCACATAAATACCTTGTAATGCCGGCTAGAAAAGTGGAATGAAACCTCCTGTTCTCACTTTCAGGTGACATTGTAAACAAGAAGCATCCAGCATTATCTCCCGCAAATGTAAACAAACTTGTTTGTCTGAGCGATTGGCTGTACAAGAAGTAGGACTGAGTGGACTTGTAGGCTCTAAAGTTTTACATAACTGCCCTCAAAAACAAAAATGTAACAAAAACCCTACATTTGTAAGTTTCACTTTCATGATAGAGATTGCACTACAGTACTTGTATTAGGTGAATTTAAAAATACTGTATCATTTTCAGTGCAAATATTTGTAATAAATGAGTACTGTACACTTTATTCCATTGTAATTGAAATCAATATATCGAAAACTTAGAAAAAGATCCAAAAATATTTAATACATTTCAATTGGTATTCTATTTTGTTTAATAGTGCAGTTAATCACAATTTTGAGTTAATTGCATGAGTTAACTGAGTAACAGCCCTAAAAAAACAAAAATCCCTTCGCTACCGCAGAAAATTGAATTGATAATTCAATAGATGGCATACTACAGTCAGAGTTGATACTGAATTAATGTTCCAGCACAATGCTAGGGCATGCTTTGCTGGAGGTGCTTCCCTTTAGTGACCCTGTCAGGATTAACCAAAGATCCCACAAGCCTATCTACAAGTGCTGGTAAAGTACACTCTGGGTAACTACATTCTACCTACCTCCAGTTAGATATGGTGTCTTTTCACTTCCTATACTGTTGAGTAGCATTATTGTATCTTATTAAACAGTTGCAGTGTTGTAGTCTGGCAACTGTATTTCATGGATTGGTGTGTGTGTGTGTGTGTGTGTGTGTGTGATATATATATATATATATGAGAGACAGCGAGAATGAACCCTGGGTTCTTTTAAGCTTCTATATAACTATAGAATCATGATTAGTTTTTGTGGGACTGATTTGTATTTTAAAACTATTACACTTGGCTATCCTGTTGCACTTACCTGTGAGGATGCTCCATAATAAAACAAATCAGATTTATAACGGCCTAGGCAGAATATCTGCTGGGGGGAGGGGAAATCTGTGCAATGTGTATTTCTGAAGTGAAATCTAAAGGGACAATTTTATCAGGACAGTAATCTCAGGCAGATGAAAACAGTTTATGAAGGGTAGCCACAGCACCCAGAATTAGTCTCCAATAGCTGTAAGAATTCTGCTTTAGTAACATGCTCAAGTGGATCAGAATCCAAAGGAGAAAATTGCACAACTCATGAATCAGAATAAGGCAGTGCCTCCAACAAATTGCCACTTCCTCTTAAACAACAGTTCCTCCTTTCTCTACTTCATATCCCCAGGATCTTCCAAATCTGAATCTCTTGTGTTCCCAAAGCACCTGAGCCTGTTTATTTTCTTTGTCTTCTTACAGAGGCCCTGCTACACCTTAGAAGGTTTTGAGTGCTTCTCCCACTGAAACTTGCAGCCTTGACACAACAGTGCTGCTTCAGGCTCAACTAGATAGGCAGCAGATAGAAAATAAATGGGTTCAGAAGCACAGGGGACATAGTGATGTACCATAGCTGGCAATGAAAATAAGAGGGGGAGCATAACAAGGTCCATTGAATTCTTGTTTGCACTGCCTCATGCCTTTCTGGTCAAAGGGTATTTTTTCAAGTTTGAGCAAGAACAGTTCAACTTTCTATATTTCCCCCCACTCCCCGAGTAGGAACACAGGCCCACATTCAGCCTTGGTGAACTATGTTTTTTAATTGAGTTTGGATTAGAATATGTGACCAGTCCAAAGCATGTGACTAAAAAGAATGAATTCATGAGAAAGGATTGTTTGTGTTAAACTTGCAGTGCCCTTAATATATTAGTATGATCTTATTTAAGGTTTGGGCTGAGCTCACATCTATAAAGAAAACAGTTGATTGGGTACCAGGTACAGTAAATTGGGTTCAACTTGTTAAAAAGAAATGCTAACTTCAGTAGTTAGGGAAAAATATAGCAAAGTGAAATAAGAAAAACCTTCACGAGACAGCAGGGTTCTAAACTGCCTCATCTTGCCATTTCTGGCTATTGGACCTTAGCTAAAGCATCATTTGTCTAAGACTGGGTTTTTGTCAGAGCTTTCCTTTACCCCTCTGAGTTGTGCCATGATGGGAAGGTATCTCCTAGGCTGATCCAGTTGTATTTTGGCCTATACTTGTAACTGCATTGATCGGATATAGATTAAACCTGGATATGCTTATATTTGTATTTTTGGGTATAATCAACACCAAGTGGCCTTTGGACTAGAAGAATGCTTTTGTGGTGGCCTTTGGACTAGAAGAATGCTTTTGTGGAAACTGAATCATGGAAAAAGTTAGTAAAATTACTAGGGAAGTTATTTTCAACACCCCAAGCAAAAATAAAACTGGCCTAGGGCCTAAAGGCTGGGAGGGAGAGATGAAAATGAGCAGGCAAATATCCCTCAGACGTACCTTTGAGCGTCCCTATGAATACTGGTTATGCTTTGATTGAATTAAAGGCTTTGGAAAAAAAATCAGACTTCATGTATTACCAATTATACCAGTTCTCTTAAGCACCTTTATCTTTGCTCTGTTTGTAAATTGGCACTGTGCATGCCTCACTTAATTACACTCATCTCCATAGTGCTCTGAATTACTCCAAACTGGCCAGACCCTACTTCCAAAGATCCCTGTCAAAGAGGGATCATGATAAAAGAGATCATGTTGCTTTCCCTGTATTGATGTTATGTTGTTTTAGTCCACTGAAGAGCCCATGATCTTATTAGTAAGAGTAGGGGTCTACTCTGGTGACTGAATATCAAATTTCCCTTACCTCTACAGTACCACATCTTGAATGCTGATTGGCTGCTGCCATCCACTCAGATGAGCACAGTTCCATGGTGATATCTTTCTATAATACATGAAGTGCTTTTGGGTGAAAGGTGCTGTATAACTATAAAATATTTTAACGGTACATTCCAATTAGATGGGAACCAGTACAGCAATACAATTGCTGAGGCATCACCTTGGAAATTGACTTAGTTAACGATGATGAAAAGTAATAACTGATGCTTTATTGGGGCAGTATTAGTGTTCACTTTACCTAATACCATGCTGTTTAATGGTGATGAATCTAGGGCTAAATAGATGTCAGATCCAAGCTCTGATTTCTCACTATAGATGTTGCCAAATGAAGATTAAAGTGATGGAGGCTAAGAAGGTATTTTCTCTATCGACAAGTGTTTTCTCCTGGTTTTGGGTTTATTTTTCTGTATCTTCCTCTGGTCCTGTCAGAGATGAGATACTGGTCTGATCCACAATAGCAAATCCTTGTCCAGTGTCCATGCCACAACCTTACACAAATCAGCTACATTCTCTACTAGATTCAAGTTCTTAGATTAAAATATGCACATTCAGGTAGTTAAAGGCAACACACACACACTCTACAGCACCTTCAATACTCAAAGTACTCAATTATACCTTTATTATCAGAGATATGTTAGAATTATTCTCTGCAAACTGAATTTACTTCGAGTGTGTAATACTAAATACTAGGCGAACCCAATCTGAATCGTGCTAAAATATCCAGTAGTGCTTAACTTGAATCAGTAATGAGTACAGTTGTGGAACAACCCAATTAATGTTTCCTTGATATGTTGCAGTTAGCCTCAATTAAATATGTACCACCACCAAGGAAAGAGCTGTTCAATTTTCTCCATGAGACATTAGGTTTTTAACTTGTCAATACCTGAATAACTCTGTAATGATTAAAGTAGATGTCATTAAATATCTATCTTACTATGTTTCCACACAGTAGCTTATCTCTTAAACAATTAAAAGATACGTTTCCAGTGGTATCAGAGTATCCTTATTAAAATTTGCTTTAAGCACACAATCTAACACAAAGCCTGAATGACTCTGTGAAACTAACATTGAAGAAATATTATTAATTCATTGTTGGATAGATTATGTGGTAAAATAGCCTGGAATCAAGAGTGAGAGAAATAGAAAATTTTCAAATGCTGTAAGCTCTAAATAAAACACAAGACCACTTTGAGGAGGGGAAACAGTATACAAGTCTGTATTTGATATGTGGCTCATAATTACAGGAAGCTAGTAGAAGGTGCCATGATACCTGTCAATTATCAGCAGGCAGAAAATGCAGAAAACATACATAATTCATCAACATACTGCCCTTTGTTAAACTGACTGATTTAGCTCCATAACAAAACTGCTTATTCAAAAGAAGAAAGTTACATTTTCAAACTAAGCTATTTGAATGTGTTCAGTTATTCAATTGATTCAGAGGTATATGTTTGTGTTGTTAAATGTTAGTAACAATGATTACTGTCATACAGAATTATATGCATGCACACGCATTTGTCGTGTTCTGAGGCAGAAAGACAGTGCTATCAATAATGGAAAAGTTAATCCTTACAATCTTGCACCCTGGAATGATTTCTTTTATGGTAGTTTTTAACGAATTGTAGAGGAATTTAAGTTATTTTAATAAGCAATAAAATGTTCATTTTATTTACTGTTTCATATCTTGCCCATAGCATTTTTAAATTTCATTTTTAAAGTATCAATAATATAAATACACTACACATTTTAAGATTCTGAAAGATTCTAAAGCCTATAAGCAGTTTTCAGTGTATTCATCACTTCAACTTGATTTCTGGTACTATCTTGAATTGTCACAGCTTGGGGACAGATGAGTCTGAACTAGATTCTTGCTTTTCTGTAAAAAGGTAGCAGTGGGGTCTGATCAGAGTATAGAAAGTTTTTAAACTTTGCCTAAAAATGCACTCACCTAGTATTCTGTGCTCAGCAATACTTATCCTATCTTTTTTAAAAGCATAGCTTAGTAGAAATAGAAATTAGGAGGCAACACTTAAAACCCATGAAAGGAAATACATGCTGCATTTAAAAAAAAAAAGGCTGTGGAACTCACGCCTACAAAGGTCACAAAAGCAAAAAGCTGAGTAGGATTTTAATAAAGACTGGACTCAGAGGAGAACATGCAGTTACATTAGCAGGATATAGAAGATATAAAACCTCTATGTTACAGGGCCAAAGCCATCCACTAACTGATGGGAGAACTTCCCTTATGGGCAGGCTCCTTGCACTTTCCTATAATGTAACTGGTACTGGTCACTATCACAGACCAAATACTGGGATAAATGGACAACCAGTTGACTCTAGCATGACAGTTCCTATGTTCCCAGGACAGTTATCTTCCTGTAGTGCCACTTTTTTCAGTAAAGCTCAGTTTCTTATATTGTGGCAATTTTGTAGCGTCCTTGGGGACGCATACTGCTCCATATCCACATTAACAACTTTCATGTGCACGTAGAGGGACATATATGGTCCTTCGTTTACCAATAGAATCAGTCTAGCTTAAGTCTGAAATCTTGGGCATACAGAAAGCCTGTATTTAATATTAAACTTAAAATGAAAAGAAAAAAGGAAAGTCATTTTTTCTCTATGGCAGTATTTCTTCTCTAATACCAGTATACCCTAGAAAGAGAAGGGGATGTGTTTAGGTATTTATATCAAATGCAAGGTGGGCTTGGTGCTTTATAGATTAATTATCATGGTCCCTGACTGAAGAAGTTCCAGTCTAAACAGAGCCAAACAGAGTCTAAACAGAGCCAAAACAAGTAGAGGGAGGGAAGGTGAGGACAAGATTACAACATGCTGTTGTTTAAATTGTTATGCATATCTCTTAATGGGGTAGGTATGGGTTATCTTTTCTTATTGGTTATCTTGCATTGAAATAGGAGTGGGTGAAATGAGACTGGTGGGGAAGAAATTAGTTTTAGGACTAAGTCAGAAGGAAGAAAACTAGAGGGAGAAAGGAGACAGGCTGGACAGGAAAAGGGAGGCTGGGTAGTAAAGAGGTTGGATGGGAAAAAGGAAGAACTGACAACCAACAGCAAAAAAGTCCAGAGATCACTTAAAATTTTAGTAAATCAGATGCTATGCAGAGACTGTACTGTGAAGGTGACCTGAGGGAAAGGGGAAAAGGTGAAATGAGGGGGGGGGGGAAAGGTGAAATGACAGGCCTGACACTTATCCTCTCATGGACTTATGCTCTTGGGTCTGCTATTGATGAGCACAGGATGTAGGCTCTTCAAGACGATTCAGAAGCTCTTTCACAGGTGGTGCAAGCTCCTGAGTGGAGTGGAAGCTGCTGGATCTGGTCAGGTGCAAAGGGTGACAGGTCCTCTTGTAGCTGTCTGGAGCTGCTACCGAATTCCACAGGGCACTGCTGTACAACTTAGTTTGCATCCTCCATGACTGTCCCATCAGTAGATTTACTGAGTAACACGCCACTCACTTCTACGGAGTGACTAAAAAACAAACAAACACGTTTGAGAGGGGAAAAACAAAAAACAAAATCTGATATCTATTTTGTTTTTGAGAGCACTTTATTTAAGTCCCAGTCTTGCAAGCCCTTACTCAGACATGTAGCGCCTACTCACACAACAATCCCATTTACTTCAGTGGAAATACTGTACCCATGTGAGTCAAGACTACTCACATCAGTTGGGGCTGGTAGAAGTAGATGCACCTCTGGCTTCGTCACCCAAATTTTGTAAACAGCAGGCTTACCTGGCCATAGGTTGTGGTCAGTCTTAACAATAATTCCTGCAGGGTTTAAAGTAGGAAGTCTTGTTTATCAAGGGTTTATCCCATTCTGATACTTTAGGCCATATAAGTAGAAAATGTAAAAAAATGTGCCTTGTGAAGGTTTTGGCACAGTGGTTACAATTATTTCTTGTTTTGTTATTCCCAGCAGCTATTGATTATATCCCAGATTGTGGGTTTTAAACCATGGGCGATGCTTCAAGTGGTGTTCCCCGTGAGTAACTCTGCCTACCTCAGCCAACCTTTTTCCGAGGCTCTCCCAGGCAGCTCAGGCTGCAGCATCAGCTCTGCCCTTATTTCAAATGGACACAGCTTGTGCTTTCCTCCACAACTGCTCATTCATGGTCCCATCCTTATCCCACCCCTTTCAGATAGCTAACACACACAGGAAACAGTACCTGTATTTCAGCAGGACTGGCTCTTGAATGGCTGCCAGGTACAATTCCAGTTTACAGGAAAAAGGCATTGTCCTCAAGTTAAGACCAATGTCATTTTGTATCCTTATGGGAGTGGGATACACTAACATTTTTTCCACTTCTTCCTGATTTATTTTGCTATAGATAAAATTAAAAATGCTGTTGCTCTCATTTGGGTTCAACTGTGTGAATTTTAATCATTTTAATTCTCAAAATGGAGAAGTGGCTGAGCAGACCTACACAATTACTCATTTTCGGCTTTGTACTTTCAGTATGGAATCTGGATCCAACTCAGATCTAAATAGTTTAAATATCCTTTTGCTATGTGATGGGAAGTCGAATCTCACTTCAGACCTTGGCCAAATTCACTGCTGTAAGAGGGTGCAATTCTGGTAAGTCAGTGAGAGCTGTTCCTACTAACATCAGCAACGAATTTAACCCTTAAAAATTATTCTCCATAAATCAATATCTGTTTTTAAATCTGGAAGTTGGGTTGGCTGACCTTCAATTAAAATTACATTATTGGCATGCTAAATAATACAAGTGTTCCCATATTTGTACCCAACACAGACACTATTTATCTACCTACAGTAGCAGCAAATATAGTAAGCAGCATAATACAAAGCATGCAGTAGAAATACCTCATTTCTTATATGTAAATGAAACTGTACACAAACAAACATGCTGCATATACAAACAATGAATATGCTGTATACACAAACGTACAAATAACTGCACTTAGTTCCGATTACTCTATTTCTGGGCCGAAATAAAATGGCCTCGAGGGGAAGGATGTTGTCAGGACTGATTCAAATACATCTGGGACCCAATGCAAACACAGTCAGTTGGGGTCCCCTTACAATCATTCATGCTTCCCTCTTGGTGAGGGTTGGGAGGCTTTTTTTTTTTTTGGTAAAATAAAATATTTCTCTAAACTAGGACAGGATAAGGGTGGCTTTGAGCAGGGGGTTGGACTAGATGACCTCCTGAGGTCCCTTCCAACCCTGATATTCTATGATTCTATTATTCTATGGCCATGGGGAGAGAGGAAGGAGTGCAAGGCCAGGAGAGGGAAGCTGCAGCTGCAGCCTCAAAAAGGGAAAGAAGGAAGTTCTCTCAAGAGAGGGTAGCTGAAAGAAGCCTCTAGTCAGGGGCAGCAGTAAAATACTAACTGGGGTGGGAAAACAGGGTGGAGGAAGAGCTTTTGGGAGTTTAAAGTCCTGCCACCACATTGGAGTTAAATTTGGGATAATTTCCCTGTCTCTGATGGAGTCCCCCTGCCCCCCTTCCCCCCCCACTCTCACTTCAGCAAAATCATCCTTGCCAGAGATGTCATCTTACACCAAGGCACCAAAAATACATCTGAAGCACAAATATTTTATCTTTGGAATGGACCAGATTGTGCGATGGGACAGGTATTTTCTAAAGACTTTACACCAGTTTAACACTGCTATGTTATCAAAATACCCTTGCTAATTAAATTATAAGAACTCTTAGCAAAAGTCAGTTTTCTTCAGCTTGCCAGGAGGTGGTGCTTCCCTCTATATTTATGATTGAGAAAATTCTTTTAAAGAAAAAGACACATGAGTAGATTCCCCACACTGTCTCCTCCATTCCCGAGTACCATACCACTGGGACACAGGGTTTATCATAAAAATAGCTATACTTGGTCAGATCAATGGTCCATTTAGTCCAGTATCCTGTCTTCCAATACCACATGCTTGAGAAGAACTGAACACAACAGGGCAATTATCAAGTCCCCCGTTGTCCAGTCCCAGGATCAGGAAGTGAGAGGCTTAGGGACACACAAAGCATGGGGTTGCATCCCTGACCACCTTGGCTAATAGACCTCAATAGACCTATCCTTCATGAACTTATCTAATTCTTTTTGAACCCAGTTATACTTTTGGCTTTCACAACATCACCTGGCAATGAGTTCCACAAGTTGACTGTGCATTGCGTGAAGTACTTCCTTCAGTTTATTTTAAACCTGCTGTCTATTAACCTCAATAGGTGAGGACCGTTCTTGTGTTATGTGAAGGGGTAAGTAACTCCTCCCTATTCACTTTCTCCACACCATTTATTTTATAGACCTTTATCTTATCCCCCACCTTAGTCATCTCTCTTCCAAGCTGATAGTCCCAGTCTTTTTAATCTCTCCTCATATGAAAGCTGTTCTATCCCTCTAATCATTTTTGTTCCCCTTCTCTTTACCTTTTCCAATTCTAAGATTGTTTTGGGATGGAGCAACCAGAGCAGTATTCAAGTGTATTTATATATTGGCATTATATGTTCTGTCTTATCTATCCCTTTCCTAATTCTGTTTGCTTTTTCGACTGACACTGCACATTAAGTGGATTTTTCAGAGAACTATCCACAATGACTCCAAGATCCCTTTCTTGAGTGGCAACAGCTAATGTAGACCGCCATCATTTTGTACGCATAGTTGGGATAATGTCTGCCAAAGTGCATTACTTTGCATTTTTCAATGTTGAATTTCATCTGCCATTTTGTTGCCTGGTCACCCAATTTGATGAGAGCCCTTTATAACTCTTCAGTCAGCTTTGGACTAACTAACTTCAGTAATTTTGTATCATTTGCAAACTTTGCTACCTCACTGTTTGCCCCCTTTTCCCAGATCATTGCTCTTCAACAGATTCATAATTGGTTGCAGGACAGATCCTTGGGGGCCGGGGGGGCCCAACCCTGCTATTTACCACTTTCCCCTTACCTCTCTCCATTTTAAAAACTGACCACTTATTCCTACCCTTTGTTTCCTATCTTTTAACCAGTTTCTGATCCATGAGGACCTTTCCTCTGTCCCATGACAGCTTATTTTGCTTAAGAGCCATTGATGAGGGACTTTGTCACAGGGTTTCAGAAAGTCCAAGCACACTCTATCCACTGGATCACTGTTGTCCACATACTTGTTGACAACCTCAAAGAATTCTAATAGACTGGCAAGGCAGGATTTTCCTTTACGAAAGCCATGTTGACTCTTCCCCAACAAATCATGTTCATCTGTGTGTCTGTTCTTTAGTACAGTTTCTACCAATTTGCCTGATACTGAAGTTAACCTTACCAGCCTCTAATTGCCAGAATCACCTCTGAAGTTTTTTTAAAAAATTGGCATTACATTGGCTATCTGCCAGTCACCTAGTACAGAGGCTGATTTTAAGCAATAGGTTACATACCAGATTTAGTAGTTCTGAAGGAACTCAAATATGAAATTGTAGAACACTTGAGTGAATACTATATAGTCCTGGTGACTTATTTCTATTTATTTTATCAGTTTGTTCTAAAACCTTTTGCTGGTTGGTCTTCACTCGTTTGGGGCCTGCCTAATTATACTTTTACCCTTGATGTGCCAGAGTTTATGCTCCTTTCTGATTTCCTCAGTAGAATTTGACTTTAAAGTTTTAAAGAATGCCTTTTGCCTCTGCCTCTTACTCATGATCGCTTTTTTTATCCTCTTACTTTTAGTTTAATTTGAGGAGAAAGGAGCAGTATTCTTAAAATATTCTTAAAAATAATGGCCACCTAATGTTAAGGAAAGGGGGTGGCAGCAGAGGAATCCCTGGTCAAAGATAACATGAAGCTGCCTGGCATAGAGGAAGGCTCAGTGTGGGCAGCAGCTAAGCAGAAAAGGACTGACTCCTTCATAACCAGCCAAATGAAATATTCCCGCATACTAGTGCTTCTTCTCACATCTCACTGGGAAAAGGGGGAGAGATACACTTAGCTCCAGGTATAGCAAAACTCTTGACATTGCAGAGGGGCGGGCAGGCAGGCCTGGGCCCATGAGACTTGGTTCTGTTTTCTACTCTGACTTATTAGTTGGTGCGGGATGAGAAGAGTAGTGAGTATGGTCAGAAACGTATGCCTCTATGTGGAGGCTTCTGAGTAGTGGTTCTGGAGTTTGTCTGAACCAGCCTTGAATTAATTTATTTATTTTTACAAAAGGAGTTGTAGAACACTTATTGTTGGGAACTAGTTTAAAGGAGTGAACAATTATGTATGAAATTTAAAAGTTGGGAAACCATTTAATCCTCTTCTAGTACATGTAGGTCCTACAGGCAAATTGCATAACACTATTCAACCAAATTACCATTCTTAAATTAGTTCCAGCTTTGTAGAGTTGCACCAAGGACTGTATCTGAAGATTCATTTCCCACAGCGCATGACGACTGGCACCTTGGCATTACACAGCATTCTGGCACTTGATCTACTGCAGTGAGTGTGACAGCAAATAATTTACTATAAAACATTTTCTAAAATATTGCCAC